TAAATAAAATCATGGATGCATGCAGAAAAAAACATGGATCATCTAAAGAAGGTCACTTCAAAACAGCCCACAGTCTGAGTACGGTACAATTCAAATTCTACAAAAGTACTGCTCTACTGATTGATTAATCACCATTTGATTAATCCCAGGGTGCACCAATCCTGGACACACATGGTCAGTGCAAGCCTTGTTCTAACCTCACTCTTAAATACAGCATCTCAGTAGCAAGGTGGACCAAAAATTTTTTTGGTTTTAAAACCATACCAACATGTTTTAGCTTTATTCTGATCTACCTCCAATTCAAGTCTCCAATATTCTACGTCAATTTTAAAGCTTCCATACAATTCAGGTGTGTCACACTGAGTTACCAATACAGGCAGTAGATAAATGAAGTAAGTACCTTAATACTGAACTTACTGCTGGATTAAAGTGACCACACTTGAGCATTGTCTCAAACATACTCTATTGATCAGTATGTGTCTTCTTGCATACCACATTTGCCATGCTCCAAAATTAACTTTAACTTAGTTTTGTTCTTGGAAACACCATTCCATGATATTACAGGGCTCAGCTACATGGGCCTTTTCATGTTTTTTTTCCTTTCAAAGTTCTGATCTTTTTTAGTAAACCTGATTTGGTTTGGGGCATGCTGCCTCTCCCTTTATTTTACAGAAGATTCATAACACTTTGTCTGAACATGTTGATAAACTTAGCCTATTTGAGGGAAAGGAAACTACTGTATACAAAGAAAAATCAGAACTAGCCAATGATTTCACACTATTTTTAAATGCCGTACCTTGCAGACACATGCACCAGTATCCTCTTCACAGCTGCAAACTCCTTGACTTTGGTCACAAGTGTCTGCTTTACTTCCACGTTCATCACAGTCACAAGGAACACATTCTGGATAGTCTCTATACCCCAAGGCACACACAGAGCAGCCATCACCTCCATATCCATGCTTACACTGACACTGAGCCGTCAACTGGTCACACTGGAGGCTGACTGAACCTACATCGCTGCAATTGCAGGCCTGAAAAGGAAAGGAAAAAACCCAATACTGGAGATTAGTGATTTTATAAAGAGCCTAAAGTATAGTAATTAAATTTTGGCTGAAACTAAAAATTCATCAGCAGCAAGTCACAGAGAATTCTCCAATTCGTAACACTGATCCCCTTTTCTTTAAAATTATTATTAGAGGCTGACTGAACCTACATCGCTGCAATTGCAGGCCTGAAAAGGAAAGGAAAAAACCCAATACTGGAGATTAGTGATTTTATAAAGAGCCTAAAGTATAGTAATTAAATTTTGGCTGAAACTAAAAATTCATCAGCAGCAAGTCACAGAGAATTCTCCAATTCGTAACACTGATCCCCTTTTCTTTAAAATTATTATTATATTATTAAATGGCTGCTAAACCAATTGAGTTGATGCTACAATCTCAAAAATAAACATGAACAATAAATCTTGTAAGAGGAAACAAACCAATTGCAGTACATCAGTGAATAGAATTAGAATAGCCAGCCATCAATGTGAACCTTCTTTTTTATCATTTCAGAAAGGAAGAGTATACCTTTTCTCCTTCTTTAATTCAACAAAACCAACTGAATATGAAAAATAATACAACAGGTAGTATTTTATAAATTGCACCCCACCCCAATTCCATAAATTGCTATGTAAAAAGGTCTGATTTTGCTCTTTTAAAGCGGCCCTAACAAACACAAAGGGACGTGGTGGCGCTGCGGGCTAAACCGCAGAAGCCTGTGCTGCAGGGTCAGAAGACCAGCAGTCATAAGATCGAATCCACGCAACGGAGTGAGCGCCCGTCGCTTGTCCCAGCTCCCAACAACCTAGCGGTTCGAAAACATGCAAATGTGAGTAGATAAATAGGAACCACCTCGGTGGGAAGGTAACAGCGTTCCATATCGAAGTCGCACTGGCCATGTGACCACGGAAGATTGTCTTCGGACAAAACGCTGGCTCTATGGCTTGGAAACGAGCCCTAGAATCGAACACGATTGGACAAAAATTGTCAAGGGGAAGCTTTACCTTTTTTAACGAACACAACCTTACCTTGCACCCATTCTCTGGATCATGACCCCAGAAGTTTTCCTCACACAGTTCACATTTTTCTCCTTCAGTATGGGGTGGGCAAAGGCACTGGCCAGAACTGCTATCACAAGCATCATGAGTATGAGCACAGTTGCATGCTGTAAAAAAGATCAAACCATTTCATTACTGCCTGTATGTACAGAATGTCTGCACCATTGGATCACTCTTTATTCCAGCTAGGCTTTGAGAGTCTGGAGTTGCTCACAAGAAGTCAGTACCTCACAAACATTTCCTGCATTTCCTTTTCCATGTCTAAACCAAAATAATGAGAAATAACACAATGGTATCTCCTAAGATACTTGATGTCTCTGCCTACAGCTGAACATTCATGAAAATAGGTGCACCAACCCATTACGTCATTTGATTGCTCATTTCATGCTTCTCTATTAACCATCTGTTTTACATCAGCTACTTTTTTCACACTGGGACATGGCTGAAACTGGAATTACTTACTTACTTACTTACTTACTTACTTACTTACTTACTTACTTACTTACTTACTTACTTACTTACTTACTTAGGGGGACAATTCCTAGAATTTCCCACCTGGGGGAGTTTAGAAAGCTCTCATCCAAAAAAAGGAACTTTTCCAGACTCTGATCAAATTTATAATGATTTTGTGGCATTTTTGTAAAAGAAAGAAAAAAAACAGAAACAAAAAGGAGAAAAGAAGAGAAGAGAAGAGATGAAAGAAAACAAAACCATGGTGCACTCATGACTTGCCACTTATGATAGGGAGCGGAAAAAGTCATCACTGCTGACTAATCTGTAAAAAGGGTAAATTGGCAAAAGGAACCAGCCCAAGCCCTTACTGAAATCGTAAAGTTAATCGGATTCCCATTACAAACAAAGCTTCCTCAAAAGTGCTTTGATACCACTTGGCTGACCAGGCTTTGCAAGTCCGTGCCAGATAGACCCCCCTCCTGACCTTTCCTGTGGTGCAGGACAAAGCACTCTGTGAAAGAAAATTCACACTGATTAAAGAACTGCCGTGACCAGATTACGAGCTATTCAGCTTACGTGTGCAGCCACCATCTTGGAATGCATAAAAACCGTGAGCGCAACGATCGCACTTTTCCCCAGCCACTCCTGGCATACAGTGGCACTGTCCTTCATCATTACAGTCCTCAGCCACTGAGCCAGCTTTGCTGCAATTGCAGGGAAGACAGCCAAGCCCTGTACTTAGGCCATAATAGCCAAGCTGTTGGACAGAAAAGAAAAGTATTTCAGCTATATCGTAGAGTTACCCAAACAAAAATAAGTTTCTGGCTTCTCTTCTATTTCATCCCTCTACGCTATCCACTCCCGCTGCTTGGCTTGCATAAACATGGTTCCGCTCTCTTTGGCAGCACACTGGGAAAACTGATTCATTTCACAATTTTCCCAGCACAGAGAGCTGCTGAATGATATGGATTCCGCCAGGAACCTTGAGACAATATTCTGAAAAGAAAAACATTATTATTCCAAATGCCAAAAATCCTAGTATTCTATATGAGAGGCTGGGAATATTCCAACGTCAAATTGGCATAGACAAACCCATTAAATGCCAGAGTCTACAATCTTAAAATCTGGGAAGATTTCCCTCCTAGAGATGCTAACTGTTCTCCTGTGAGTCACTCTAGAACTCTGTAGTAAAATAACTGGTTTCATAATATATAAACACCAGAACCGTAAACTGGAACTCTGTTAACCAATTCTCAGTCTTCTCTCTTCTCTACTGAGATAATTACCAATAACTCTATAAAGGTCCCATATGGTAACAATAAGAACATACTAAGGCCACACAGACTGGCTCTACTCAGAGAAAACACTGTGTAGAATCAGCTTCTAATAAAGTTGGGTTGACTTTTTTGCTTTATCTTGCTGATGTTTGTTTTTGCATTTACCAATGCAGTGGGGTCTTGACTTGAGAACTTAATCCGTATTGGAAGGCGGTTCTCAAGTCAAAAAGTCTGTAGGTCAAGTCTCCATTGACCTACAGTGCATTGAAAACCGATTAATCCCGTAACAGGCCATTTTTGTTCCATTTTGGTTTTTTTCTGGTCTGTAAGTCAATTCTCAGGCTGCAAGTCAAATCTCTAGCCGCCTAGAGTGGTCTATCGACTAGATAGGCGGGATATAAATGAAATAAATAATAAATAAATAAATAAATTTTGCAGCCAGAGAAGTCTGTAACTCAAAAAAGTCTGTAAGTCAAGGGTCCACTGTACTTGTATCTGAAATTCAGATTATTACATTTCATTATGTTGTGTCTATTGGATTACTGACTTTTGTATTGCTTGAATATGTTGATCTCTTTTGGAAGGATTTCCCCTCCCTTCCAATGAGATGTTGTATAATATTTTGATGTTTGGAGACCCTTTGAAAGCAGTCCATTGAAAAATGCAACATGCAATAGTAAAGTCAGCTGTATGGAAATTAACTTTCATATTACTTACCAAGCACCTATCACATCTCTGTCCCACCACATTAGTTTTACATTGGCAAAGTCCAGTCTCATGGTGGCAGATTCTGGATACAGAACTGTTCACATGGCATTCACAAGCTTATGTTTAAAAAGAATAAAAACGCAAAACATTATTGACCATAACAAGTACTGTAGTTACTAAAATATTTTTTTTTTCTGCACAAAAGATCTAGGAATCTATTTTCCTAGATTTTTTTTATTGCTATAGGTCTTTGACTGTGTGGAGCACAGCCAACTATGGCAAGTTTTTAAAGAAATGGAAGTGCCTGACTACCCTATCTATCTCCTGAGAAATCTATATGTGGGTCAGGAAGCAACAGTTAGAACTGGATATGGAACAACTGATTGGTTCAAAATTGGGAAAGGAGTACGACAAGGCTGTATATTGTCTCCCTGTTTATTTTACTTATATGCAGAATACATCATGCGAAAGGCTGGACTGGAGGAATCCCGAGCTGGAATTTAGATTGCTGGAAGAAATATCAACAACCTCCGATATGCAGATGATACCACTCTGATGGCAGAAAGTGAGGAGGAATTAAAGAACCTCTTAATGAGGGTGAAAGAAGAGAATGCAAAAAATGGTCTGAAGCTCAACATCAAAAAACAAAGATCATGGCCACTGGTCCCATCACCTCCTGGCAAATAGAAGGGGAATTTATGGAGGCAGTGACATATTTTACCTTCTTGAGCTCCATAATCACTGCAGATGGTGGCACCAGCCATGAAATTAAAATACACCTGCTTCTTGGGAGGAAAGTGTAGATCTACCCGAGTCACTCATTTTAGCCAAGAAAGACAGCTGAGGGGCCTAACGCCGAGAGAGGCCTGGAAAGAAAGAACAAGAAACCGGGCCTTCTTGGCAGTGGTCGCTCGACTATGGAACACCTTGCCATCGGAAATCACCCTGGCAGCCTCGCTGGGTGTTTTTAAGAGTCAGTTAAAGACATGAGTCTTTAGGCAGGCCTTTCCTCCAGCCAACACTTGATTTTTTTCTCTCTTCAGTTTTCCTTTTTTCCCATCTTAAACTTTTAAATTTGTTGATTTAATTATGTGATTGTTTTGATGACAATTTTTTATGATGTTTTATAACTGCTTGTAAGCTGCCCCGAGTAGACTCTGTCTAGAGGGGTGGGGTAGAAATCGAATAATAAATAAAAATAAATAAATAAATAAAATATGATTATATGAAAATATACTATTTGGGAAAGACTGAAATATAACAATAATACCCATGTGCCATCAACTCTATTATGACTTACAGCAACTCCTTCTAAGGTTTTCCAGGTAGACAATATTCAGAAGTGGTTTACCATTCCCTTCTTCTGGGGGTGTTCTGGGACTTTGCAGTTTAGCCAAGGCCACAGAGACCGGCTCTACTCAGAGCAAGTACGATGGGGAATCAAATTCCCAACCTCTGGCTCTGCAGCCAGGTACTGAAAATATTGACCCATCTAGCCGGCTGATAGCTTAGTAATTGTGAGCAGGTTTATCTGCCCTGAAAATTATTTCAATACATTTTAACCCTGAAATATATCTCCCCTTATTCTGACCTCAATCCAAAATACTTCAATAACACATATTACGTTTTTCACAATGTTACTTTAACCAGGAAGCTCTATCCATGCTACCAGACACATATGTTTAGTGTCAGAAGGTCAGTCAATCCACTGTATTTATTAGTCCATGCTTTCAGAGGTATGTACTTTTTCAGAAATGGCATTTAGTAGTAAACAGGTAAGTATAACTCACCACGACAATCTTTCTTAATCACTGCATCCCCATAAAACTCTTCAGCACACCTTTCACAATGGCGTCCCTCAGTATTTCCAATGCACTTCAGGCACTCTCCCGTGAGTGAGTTGCAGTGACCATCTTCCATTGGATCTACATTGCCATTGCATTCACAAGGAGTACACGATTGTCCCGGAACCAAGGGATTGCCATAGTACCCATTTGCACATCTGCAGAACAAATTGAAATTGAGTAAGACTGCAGAAAGCTATAGTCACATTTTTAGACAAATAAAACAAAACTTTAATCGGAATATCAATATTGGTGAAACCTTTTTATTTTGTTTTGTATTCCTTCTTTTGCAAGCTCTCTAGCCCATACCTAATCTCTTTCTACTACTGCTCTCCAAAAGTTCACCTATCTAACTCAAACTAAAAAGTTATTATTTAAAAAAAACATGTATTCTTAAGACAAATCTTCAAAAACAATTCATAGCTTGGTTGATTGCTGTGACTATTAAACTGCCTTCACTAGGCATGACAACATGCATTTGCCAAACTGCTCTGGAAATCATGGTAAGCTAAAGATACGTAACACTGGCAGTTTTCCTTTCAAATTCAGGGTACACATAGCATTTTTTCACCCTAGATCAAAGCTAACAAAGTGCATGACATTGTAGCCTCCTCTGAAATTAAGGTGAAAACATAGACAATAAGGCATTCTTAGCAGTAGCAGATGTTCAACTTTTTTTACTTCAGACACAAAAACAACTTCTGACTGTTTAAAATTGTCTCAAAAGACAGGGAAAAAAGCATTCTTTCACACTTTGGTTGCATGCAGAATTGCCCTTACACAGAAAATGGGTGCCTTATGTTCATGGAAAGAAGATCTAACAGAGTCTACTACTTAGTAAAGGGAAGGAGAGAGTATTTTTACTGATGTCTCATTTCCTTGTTAATTCCACTGGTACCTTCAATGCTATTTCAAAAGGTCTCTCAACTTTTACATTGAGCAGAGAAGCTGCAGGAAAAAGGTGCAGAGGTGGGCAATGTGTAGCTCATGGGCTGCATGCAGTTCCCTGCCCAATGTCTGTCCCCCATCCACAAAATTTCACTTGTAGTTGAAAACAAATTTGTGTCATAAACACACACACACACACACACACACACACACACACACACACACACACACAAACACACACACACACACGAGGCCACTAGAAGGTATGAAAGGGCTCTTCAGTAAGAAAAAAAAATGGAAGGGGAACTGCAAGACGAAATGAAGCCCTGAAAATTACAGAGATGGGCATATATAGCTCTAAATCTCTGTATTAGTGGAAGGACATACTGAGACTAGAAATTCTGTTCTGGACTGACTCCCGTTTCTGCTGGACTGGCAGTTGTTCCAGTTCCTTTTTTAAAAACAAAAAACAAAAAACTTAGGTCTATTTTCAAATGGCAAGGACAAACCTAAGCAATCAAGCACACTTTCCTCCACCAGTTCGGTCTTCATGTTGAAAATAAAAAAAGCATCAGAGACGGACATGTCTACAAAAAGCAGGGTTCAGTCCTGGCCTCCTTACGCAACATTTCTGATACCTAACTTCACCACTGACAAGACACACATTTTGAGACTGAATCCTGAAGTGAGAAAGAAGCAAACCTATGTCCATAATCCTCACTGCACAACAGGTATAATGACATCAGCAGCAGACTACTGTTGATTAAAGACCTGCTTTTTCAATTCTGGGTTGCAAGCAACGTTGTCTTACATCATATGATCTGTGTACACCACAAAGTTTTTTTTTTAAATGAACACAAAGAGATTTTTAATCAATGGCAAACTGTCACTGACAATGATGTCATTCTCACTGCATAGGCAGAGGGGCACAATACGAGTCGGAGATGTGTAGCTAAATACATTTTTTTGTAGTTTTTTCCAGTATTCCAATTTCATACCTTTCACACTTAGTTCCAGCGTAACCTGGAGGACATTTATCACAGACAACTTCACCATCATTCTCCAAGTGACATGTCGGGCTGAAACTGAAAACAATTGCTTTAATTTTATTAGTTCTCATTTATTTTAATATTTTATTCCACCTTCCCACTGAAAGTATCAAGGCACCATAAAACAACATTAAAACTGCAAGAATAATGGACACAGCCACACTGAAATGATATTTCAGGGCAGGGCTGGATAAAACATGATCAGTGGGATGTATATGCCTTCCAGGGATCCAAGTATGCCTCCTACTCCAGTCCCCTTAATTTCTTATTAAAAGTAAGCAGGGGAGACAATTTCCCCAGGTTTTGGGGACTCCAGAGCTATTCTATCCACCTCCCCAACACAAAGGATTGATTGGCAATCTTTTTTTTAAGGCTCCTTCCAGATTTAAAGCAGACGAGGCAGGGTCAAAAAAGCACACACACCCTTTACACACGCAAGCTTCTCCAAGAGATGCTTGGGGTAAATTTCTTAAGTTAAAAGAAGAAAAAGTAAGGGGATGGCAGGAGAGTGCAGCCTTCTGAAGTCCAAATGATAGCATGCACACCCCAGATCTCTAGAAGTTGCCCAATCCCGCTTTAGGAAGTATAATAACATTTATGCATAGAAAGAAAACATATTGTTCTCTTAAGCGTTTCTCTGCCCTGCATCATAATCTTCCATTTGAACCTCCGAAAGATGCAGTGTTGAAGGGAGAGACACTTTCAGGAGAAACCAAATGGGGAAGCACAAGCCCTTCAAAATGCCTGAAGCAGCATCCTGGATTGCTTCCAGCACGTAGCAATCGGACAAGACTCGGCCTGAAATGATTTTGTTCACATAAACAGTATATAACACTAGAAGATTTTCTAAAACTAACACTGAATGAAATTACCCGAAGGCTACATTTCTATGCACAAAAATACTGGAAAATTTCCAGCTTCCTGTCGCCGCCAAACAACAGCTGTCATTTCTGAAGGAATTTGTCATGCTTTTACACCTTCCCCTCAGACTGACTTTTTCCCTTCCTCGTTCTTCCCAACATTGCTTATCTGATATTGTCAGAGATACAATGCAGTAACTCCAATTAGATGCTTACTTGTTTGTTGCAATTTTCAGTGGACAGGCACATGGCTGGCAGTCCTCTGGTGTTCCTTTAGAAGGTGTACCATAGAATCCTGGCAGGCATTGATCACAACCACGCCCTGTAGTGTTATGTTTGCAGGCCTACGAGACAGCCAAGAAAACTTTTGACGCATATATTGGGTAGAATTTTATTTCCAAAGGGATCTTGGCATGAACCAGCATGCAGCATTAGGATTCAAAGAACAGGCAGAAAGAAACAAGATGGACATTGAGAATATAACAGTCACAATTAAGCAGTCAGTTATTATGTTCACTGAAGTATATATCTGGTTTCATGAGTTAGCTGCATCACTCTTGAGAGGAGATTAAATCATTTGTGCTCGTACTATAAACTAGTAATCAACAGAGTTCAGAACATTTTCATTTGGTCAGTTTAAAAAATCTGCAAAGAAAGACTTCAGATGCTACACAATTGCTGAGGAAATGCCATCAGCTAAAGCTGCTCCAATATTTTTTTTATTTAGAGTTGCAGGAAACTTGCCACTGATGTGAATGGAAAAAGCATTGACTGTTGTACATTTTCCTATATAACTGTATTTTATGCTAGGTCTTGGGCCAGACATCAAATACCTTTAATATGAACTTAAGCAGACTATAAACATTACAGAAACAAGGTAGGAAGATGATTTTTCTGGATTTGCTACCAAATCATCTTGTAGAGTGGACCCTCTACTTACGAAGGTCCCTACTTACAAAAATTTCGAAGTACGAAAAGTTCCGGCCACAAAATTTTGGTTCGACTTGCGGCCAGAGCTTCTACCTACGAAAGGCAGGGGAAAGGGCAGGAAATTCAAGGCCGCCCCGCTGCCCTCTGCCTCCCATCCCACAGGGACAGGAGGCAAAGGGCAGCGAGGGCAGCTTTGGAAGCCCAGCAAGCCAAAAGGTGCCCCGACCTCCGTGCCTGCTGCCAGCTTTCAGCTTTCGGGGCTTCCAAAGCTGCACCCGCTGCCCTCTTGTCTCCTGTCCCTGGTGCCCTCTGCCTCCTGTCCCCACGGGGATAGGAGTCAGAGGGCACCGGGGACAGAAGGCAGAGGGCAGCGGGGGGCAGCTTTTTAAGCCCGGGATTGTTTTTCTTTGGCTGGAACGGATTAAATGGTTTTCAATGCATTCCTATGGGAAATGGACTCTCGACCTACAGACTTTGCGACCTGCGGCCACCATTTTAATACAGATTAATTCTGTAAGTCGAGGGTCCACTGTACTGAAAGTTATACTGCTCTTCTTACGCAGCCTAGTATTCTCTGTTTCTCTCCGTCCTTAACATTCTTGGTGTCTTTTCTTAATCTTCTTCCTTTTCAATGGCCCTTCTCCCTCTCCACCACAGTGCTCCTTAAGCTCCCCCCTCAGCTCTCTTTCCTCGCTTATGGTGCAGCAAGACCTTCTCTCCATCGTTTAATAGACTGAAAAGATCAGGGCTCCTGATAGGGAAATACCACCCAGAGTTATCCAAAAGCCCTCTAGAGAAATGACTATCCCAGGCCTGACATTTAGGGATAACAGTCACCTATTGACAGAAGATAGCACTGCAGGCATTGCAGGCTGCAGACCCCAGATAGTCCCCTCTTCAATGAACAGAAAAATTTATTAATCCATGTGGGGGGGACATCTGTGCACATACCTAGAGCTTCCCTAGTATCCATGTAAAATTTTGTATGTCTAGATTTCACTGACTTGAAACTATGGCAGAGACAGCCACACTCAGGGACACTAAATCTCTTTCATTACTAGAGAAAATTAAATACAGGTTAGTTTAAATGATTATAATATTTTTAGACATAAAAACTCATCTGGTGAAAGATGACTTACAAAACAAACACCATGAATATCACATTCTGTTGCATGACCATTGCAATCACATGGCAGGCAAATCCCTCCAAAGAGTATTCCATCTACGCGGTAATAGCCAGGAAAACAAGACTAAAAAATAAACACAGTGAAAAAGGAAAATAGTGCAGACATAATTATCACAAAGTCAAACTTAACACACATCAACCTGACTACTGGATTACTTACTTATCACAAGCTCTGCATTACAGCATGCGTGAAAAGGGTAACAGTTACTCCAGCTTAATATTATGTTATCAACTCTGTTGAACAGAATAAATTAAGTTTCTCTCTGAACTCAGTTCACAGGGCCATGTAAGTAGGACTTTTACATGTGCTGAGAAGCCCTTGATCAAAAAAGTGCATGTTTACACTCTCAGTGGGCACAAGGAATTAGTTGCAAAGTCTTCTGGATTCTAATGTATCAGTTATTATAGCAACAAGATGTGAAAAACAAACAGCGACGTTGTATAACTTTGCACCAGTGAAAACCAGATCAGGGTGCCAGAAGAAATTAATTTAAATGCTTCCAGTACTACCTAGGGCTCTTTTTTTGTCCTTGAGAAGACTTTGAGAGTTTCAGAATGTGAGGGAGAGGTTCTAATACTAAAATATTGCTGCCAGATCAACAGCAGCAGTCCTAGTCACACCGAAGCAGTCCAGCAGCTGAAATAGGGGGGAATATGAAGCTTGACATTAATTCAAATTATTAATTTGCACTTCTGGAACTGCATTAGCAGGATTTGGCCTATAATGTACCTACAGCATGCACATAAGCACAACCCACACCACAAGTAAGAAATCAAGCATTCTTTTTGGGAACTGGAGAGGCAGGGAGAGATTTCAACTCAGGTTAATACTTTATGTACACTTCTTCCAAGATTGCTGGTCTATTTATTTTGCACAGTCCAAAATGCTGCAGCTCTACACATGTAGTAGCAAACCCACTGAACTGCATATGACTGATGCCTGAGCATATTAATGTACCATAAAGCATCTACATTACTGTTGTTTCCTCAAATCCCCTCTACATCCCTAATGATACTAGTTTCCAATAGCTTTGTTGCCCATTTATAAGGCATGATAGATCACAACTATTTTTTCACTACATAGAAATATTTTCAGTAATCTGACATAGAAACAACACAGTTGATCAGTTTTACTTGTGATGAAACAAAGTTGTTCACACAGATAGACAGACAGACAGGCGTGTGCACGCGCACGCACACACGCGCGAGTGCGCACACACACACACAAAGGTGTTAGCTTTATAACAGACAGGCATGTGCACGCGCACACACACACGCGAGTGCGCACACACACACAAAGGTGTTAGCTTTATAACACTACCTGGGGCAAAACACGTATGTTAACCAAACTGTGGACTCTTTAGCTAGATATTAACTGAACTCTAGATTTCTTAGTTATACAAAGAGGCTGATCCTCGGTAGGTGGAAAATTTGCGAAGTTGGTGCAAGGCATTCAAATTGAGAAGCTTGTTCAACAATTCTAGTTTTAGAAACCACAACCTAGAAGGGAGCTCACATGTTGCAACTGCACTGACAAATGCCTACTTCCTGTATACAAACAATGAGAGATTACCTCACAAGAAATTCCAGAGTAACCTTGAGGGCATTCACAATATTCCACATCTGCAGCCGAAGAAAGATCTACAAGATTAGCATTCGCTGTATCCAAAGTGACAGAATCCAACCTGTAACAAGACAGCACCAGATAGTCCCCTCTTGAAATACATTTAGAGAAAAAAGGAATTGGAGAATCAATCATACAAAAAATATATTGCTGAAAAGTTAAGTTTTTAAACAGCACTGAGGTATACTGCCCCTTCATGGATTGCTGCCTTGTCGTGGCGAAGGGGCTTGAGTAACTCAGAGAAGCTATGGGCTATGCCATGCAGGGACACCCAAGACAGACAGGACATAGTGGAGAGTTCCAACTAAATGCAATCCACCTGGAGTAGGAAACAGCAATGCACAATAACAAATAACAATCACACATGCACTGATAACAACCAGACTGGACTACTGCAACGCGCTATACATGGGGTAGCCTTTGAAGATGGTCCGGCGACTGCAACTGGCACAGAACCAGGCTGCACTGCTGGTAAGTAGTGCCACTGCATGGACTCGTATCATGCTGGTTCTGAAAAACTCACACTGGCTGCCGGTTGCTGCTTGGGCCCAATTCAAATTGCTTACTTTGACATATAAAGCCCTAAACAGCTTTGGACCTGGTTACCTAACGGACTGCCTTCTTCCATACGAGCCTGCCCATCCTCTAAGATCAGGCCAGGAGGCCCTTCTGAAGGTCCCATCCCTGAAAGAGGTGAGGGGGATGGCATGTCGAAATAGGGCCTTCACGGCTGTTGCCCCCCAGGTTTGAAATGCCCTCCCTATAGAGATCCGCCCGGCTCCAACAATGTTGGCTTTTCGGCACCAGGCAAAGACCTTTCTGTTTAGCCAGCATTTTAATTAAATAGTATCATTTAGCTGGTCATATGAGCAGCAGGATTTACTAATATTAATGTTTTAATGACTTTTTAAATACAGAGTATTATTATAATATGTCCTATTTTTAATGGTTTTAATGTTTTTAAAGTTTTAGTACTGTGGTACGCCACTAGTAATGGTACAGCTAAGAAAACATCATGTAACTAAATAAATAAATGGCTGGGGTTGAGAGCAATCGCATGACCATCTTTTAATAAATGAGTTTTGAAGGGTCCACTCAATAGCTTTATCCAGGTGAAATCAGCAACATATGCAAACATAATATTTATGTTACAGATGACCTCTTGCTATGATTTCAATCATTTTGCTTCCAGTTTTCCAAATTAATCTGCCATGTCTAAGTCACTATACCACATCACCAGAAATATGGCTCTCTATGGGACTTAACTGCAGCCATGCATGTGCAAGATGCTCCGAGGGCTCACAAAGTTCTTCAATACACAACACAGAACCTCTTCTCTCATGGTGTAGTGATTGGACTGCTGTACTGTAGCCAAAACTCTGCTCATGACCTGGGTTCGATCCCAGGTAGTTAGCCTTCTATTCTTCTGAGGTAAACTGAGTACCCAACTTGCAGGGGGGGGGGATGTGCACCCTACATAACTAAATTGTAAACTGCCCAGAGAGTGCTTTAAGCACTGTGGGGAGGTATATAAGCAGAACAATTTGATTTGTTTTGCTTCCTTCTTTACTTCAACAGCAGCAGCAGTTCTGTCATGCACACCACTACAGCCCCATATCAACTGTTTCTGAGACTCAGTTTTCAAGGGCTGCACATCTCCAAGAGGCTTATTTCAACTAGTGATACATTAGAATGGCCATTAACCTAACTGAGTTGGTGAACAACATTGTGGAGCAGATTTCATTCTCTGTAATTATCCAGGGAATGCACTAAGCAGTTGGACTCGATGGCCAACTTTCAACTCAATTATTCCATGATTCAATGAATTCAATGTACCATTTCTAACACTGTCTCTTCTTACTAACCTGACATGTCAGCAGTGATTTAGATGTCAAACAACAAGCAGATGTACACCAGTCCCATCCTATACAGAAACTAATCTCAAGAATAGATGTGAGCTTTGATCACAGAAAGTCTCATTTGTTTTGGTCAATCATTGCAGAACAATAATTAACAAATGTCACTTCATTAGAATTCATAAGAACACACTTTCCAGCCTAAGCCCCTACTAGAGAGGGCTATGTTTCTTACTCTGCAAATAGCCATTTATAAATCAGCTACTCAAAGCTAATTTTCCAGTCTTCTATCTTAGGCTAATTTGTCTGTTATACTACCCTCTATTATATTGTCCTTCCCAAGTATAACAGACAAAAAAAGAGACAATTCCAAAGTAAGATTTATCATATAAATTGGCCTTCATGATTTTCAGAGTAAACTTTCAGTCATGAAGTATATATGAGTGAATGAAAATGAATGAGCTGCCAGTATAAATAGTACTTTAAAATTAGGAATGCCCTGTAAAGTACAGATGTTGGGAAAGTTGTTCTTCACTAGAACTCCCTGCAGTCCACATAGCTGGTGCAGAATCCTAGCAGCTGCAATTGAATATAACTTTGTTCAAGCTCTGACTAAATAGTACTCTCTTTCAATTGAACTAGCAAAGACATTTATCATCAAAGAATTTCTGAGTAACATACTGAAACAGGCAGATGCATCTTATTCACAACTGAGTATTCCATACATAATTTAACTTTGGGTGAAGTCTCTGGTTCAAGCATTTCCCATCTTTGTTATTCAAGCATTTCCCATCTTTCAGCCAAGAGAAGAACAAAGCCATGATTCAGTTATCTGCTGCTAAATAGAAGCCAGAAGTCGCAATCTAAAACAAGTGCTTGGTCCTCACTGACTCAGGATGGACTATCTGTGGAACTTGTAGCTATGCTGTTCTGTGAGCTTCTATACTTGTACTGCATAGAAAAATGGAATGTTACCAGAAATTAGACCTTTAAACACATGCCTTCATGTGTGAGGCATCTAAAGCACTGCAGTTCTGAGACCTCCAGCTCTACCAGATTGTTTTCTCATATTAATGCTTTCATCAATACATAGCTTTTCCCCCCAGAACATCTGATCAATATTACCAGTGAGTTACTGCTCATTTCGGAATTGGAAGAGCATATGTCTTGACAGAGCACATGCTTTGGCAGGGAACAGTGTGCATATGTTCAGTGCAAATGCAAACATAATAGTGATGGACAGACTACTGAAATATACCCTTTGCACAACAGAGGTTCCATTAGCAATGGAACCAATCCCAGAAATTCCATGTTTGTTTCATGGAAAATCTCCACATATGCTCCCTACAGAACTAGTGGCTCTTTTGGACCTACCTTCTGTACAGAATGGAAACTGCCCCAGCGCTTCCTGGGAGGCCTAGTTTGTTGGGAGTGCCCTACAATGATCCTAATGGGCAGCAAAACTATACAGTACATCTCACACTCAGGAAGCACTGGGGCAGCTTCTTTTTTTATAGGTAGCAGACAGCTGGAAGACAGACCTTGCTCTATATGAGTGAAATGTAGATGTGCTTCTCTGAGCAGGGACTCCAATAATTCTACCTGGCAACTTCTTGGAGAATTCTGAGAGTCCAAAAACAAAACAAAACCGCATGTCCCTATTGTCTACCCCACAATGGCTCTAGGATAGTTGCCAGTCCCATTATCATGTCAAAGCATATGAGCTGCAATTGTGACTTCCCCCCCCCCAAATAGTTTTGGCCTAATAGTTGCACCTCCCACTGTCTGCATCTTTTCATCAATACATGTTGAATTGTGTGTGTTGTAACCAAGCTTCCCTCTAAGGAGTACACATGCAGCTCCACTTCTGTCCGTGCAGCCTTCCTCCTCCTCCACATAATTGTTTTCAGCCCCTTTGGTTCTGGTCGCAATGAACCCCACGGAGGGGGGCAAATTTGGGTGCACATGCAGATGAAAGGTTGCAAGAGGGAGAAGCAGAGCCCTGCCCAGCAGGGCTGAAAATTAACAGTGTATGTTGGCTGTAACCAATAGACTCAACAAATACATAAGCATTAAAGCCCTCTGTGTTTACCTATGGCTCCTACACATTACTCCCTTCTCCGCACTGCCAGCTTATTGAACAAGCCAGACATATAACCCATGGCCATAAGCTGACATGTTTACCAACTGTCCAAAGATTATTTTAAACTATGGTTCCTGTTTTGAATTTGAAAACAGTGAGACAACAGAGAATCTGAAACTTAATTATAGTTTACTGCTTTTCCTGACCATGTGGAAAAGACAACTTGTGTGTATTTGTGCACATAATACTAAATCATAGTTTAGTGCTATGAGTAAATCTTGACACATTCCACACTTCAAGATGTTTACTACTACTGAGAATAAAGTTACCATAGAATATTTTTGCAGATGGGAAATTATTAACAACTTAAAAAACAAGCTTCAACATTAGAAACATATTCTAATACATTTTAACAGAAAATCTAATACCACAATGAATCACCTTGCAACAATTACCTGTATACAGCCTTTTTTGCAATGTTGTAACTAGCCCGAAGCATAAGATGTGTAACATTTGCTAAAACTGTCATTAGCATGTCTCGATCTATTGACTTCTTGGTATTAAAATCAACAAAATTTTCAGGCACAAGTTGCACGGTATTAGAATAGCCTTCATATGGTTGCAAAGACAGCCCTTCAGATCTGGTACACAAGATTTGTCCATTGCCCTGAAACAACAGATACAATGTCTTTACAGAGAGGTATCCATTTATTTTCAAAAAAACTAGTTTGGAACTTCATTTAAACTCAGATCACACAAACTCAGATGTAATTTATCACACATGCATGAAGAACTGACACTAATTTGTTGTTTTTTTAACTGTTTCAACTATCTAATCTCCAACATTTTCACAGCCTGTACTGCACATTCGGTTAAACTGTTCTACACCTTGAAACTCCTGGATTCCAATTTTAGACACATCTCATGCTGATATGCTCACACTTTTTTTATTTTACTTGGATATTAACTAAATGGCATGTTTTATCATGCACTATACACACCAAAATATCCTTGGAATGTAGACAAAAGGAAACCAACAGCACATGGCTCACTAAAATCAATTAGTTTTACAACAAATAAATGGGTATAAGACTACAGCCTAAAAGTATCAAATTCTTTGGATATTTGAATATTCAGCACAAGAGTAATATGTGCCTGATTTACTATTTTTTTGTCACTGCGTTTTAAGCTGGTTTTATGTTTTAACTAAATATGCTTTTAATTGAATTCTGCAGTTGCTAATTGCCTGCACTTCATTTTTTAGCAGAAAGGATACGCACACATTCAATAAATAAATTAAACAGCAAGTCAGAGGCAAGATGATGATCTTGTTCTTGTCTCTATCTTACTAAAGGGTGGGTTCCATCATAGACCTTTTGACAATATTTCTTCAATGAGTTGTGTTCTTCCTGCATGTCTCATCCCATATATTTTACCTTTAATGATCAGTTATGTGCGGATATGTGTTTTTCAACCTCATTACTTCAAAAACAATTCCCTACCCCCATCCTTCCCTCTCTACTCAAACAGAAATCTCCAAAAGGTCAGGGAAACCTTCAATGCACCATTCTGCGAAGAGAGAGAAATCAGCAAAAGCCACCACCACGAGCACTCAGAAATGCTTCATGTATTGATAACTCTTAAATCACAGGCAGTAACATTAATCCACATAGCCTTAAATTACCTGAAGAATTACATCAACACTAGTCACCAAATCACTATCTGTACTGTCCATGGGAATATCATAGGACACAGTATACTTCAAATAACCACCGAAGGATGTGAGCTGGAAATATAAAAGACCAAACATATTTAAAGGCTCTCTAAATTTATACATTCTAGCAATGAATTGTAAAACTGCTATGCAGCAAGAAAAACAACTACAGTATTTTCACATTCTCTTTAATAACCAGTGAACTTTTCTTCTAAAATTAACATATCCATAGAAGTCAGAAAGTTTTTTTCTTTTCAAAAAGTAATATTCATTTATATTAACTGAAAATAACATGACTAAATATGTGGATTTAATTATGTGATAATGGATATATATTTTCTATATCCATTATCACATAATTAAATACACATGTTTGGTCACATTATTTTCAGTTAATATAAATGAATATTACTTTTTGAAAAGAAAAAACTTTCTGACTTCTAATCTCTTTTATTTTACATTGTGAATGACTTTTTAAATTCTAGTTACATTCCAAATGTTCATTGTTCCATTGCTTCTTCATACTAACTTAGAATCATTCCCTGAATGTTGTCCTATAATAATACTTCCAGTATAACATATATGAGATACCTGTATCAAATATACATATAATCCTATGAAACACTTTATCATGTACATTTTGATTTTAAATTTACTTTCATATGTGAATACAAATTCATTTTGCTCTGCCGATTTTTTTAACATCATCTCAGTACAACACCAATAGTATCAGAGGTGAAATATCATCTAGAGAGGCAACTTCAATGCTACCTACCAATTTGACAGCATTTCCACAAAAACTACAGTAAAAATGGTAAAGGTAAAGGTTCCCCTTGACATTTAGTCTAGTCGTGTCCGACCCTAGGGGGCGGTGCTCATCCCATTTTCAAGCCGTAGAGCCAGCGTTTGTCCGACGACAGTTTCCATTGTCATGTGGCTAGCATGACTAGGGAGCGCTGTTTTACCTTCCCACCGAGGTGGTACCTATTTATCTACTCGCATTTGCATGCTTTCGAACTGCCAGGTTGGCAAGGAGCTGGGACAAAGCGATGGGAGCTCACTCCGTCACGTGGATTCGATCTTACAACTGCTGATCTTCTGACCCTGCAGCACAGATGCTTCTGCAGTTTAACCTGCAGTGCCACCACGTCTCTAAAAACTACAGTACCTCCTCCAATAAATCTTCCATTCTCATATTTGCTCTCCAATAATACAATATAGAAAATTATGCAGGAATAAGATATTGTAGTGGAAGCCAACCTATTTTCTTTAGGATGCTTACTTTATTTCCAAGATACGGCTCAGGGGCAGACCAATAATAAGGGGACTGCAGAATTTTTCCAGCAGCAATATTGTTAATACTTATTTGATTAGGTCCATCAAAATCACCTTGTTGAGGCTGTATAGTTTTTGAACTGTATGGTGCAGTTACCAGCCAACTAGCCATAGAATACACCTTAAGGGAGGAGAAAAAGAGAAATACTATTGAATAAATCACACAGGTACATTTTGAAACAAAAGTCAGATTTAATTCTGTATTATGGAACACTAATGGGAGTGGCCTGGAAGTAGAGGTGACCTGTAACTGACAAAAATGCCATAATAGAAATACTACTGAAAAAGGTGCTATTGATTGTAAGATTTGTACACACACGGTATTTTTTTTTTAAATCCAATTCACAACTTACAGTGACAGTGAAAATCCCTCATAAAAACTTTCTCATGATTAGCATCCTCCACTATAATGCACAGCAATCAAGCAAACTGCTTAGAATCACATGGCCACTCTCTCCATCTTAACTGAGAGAAGTAAAATGGACAAAGTCAGCATTTTCACCTTCAAATGGGACTTAGAGACAAGGAGAAATACAAAGAATATCTCGACATGCCACATTGTTATGCAGCAAATTATCATCTCTGCAGTTCTTGCATTCCTCAAATAAGAATGAAGTCTGCATCCTTTCAAAGACAGTCCAGTATTATATTTATTCAGTATTTATTTACTACCAGTATATATAGAGAGAGTTTTATATTCAATATATATATATTGTTTTAAGCCTTAATGGGCAGGTTGTGCAGTTCCCCAACATGCAGCAAGCTAGAATACTGTAAAGCAAATAGTCCCCTGTTGAAAAGCATTTGCAGTAGTTGCTTGCAAGTATTACTTCTTTATGCCTGTAAGCCACAACAAGCACTGAATTCCAACAGGAAGCCAACTGTGATCCAGCCATTAGGTCTTGCTTTGCACAAGGGAATGTGTGCTTCCCCATCTCTGGACCCTGTGCAATCCCTTCTTGCAATGCAGTGTCCAAATACTTGGGTGCTTAAGCAACAGTTCAAGATAAGAGCAATAAAGGGTGACATTCTGCTCATTCTTTCTTGGATCCAACCCTTGATACCACATCTTCTCCCCATTGCGAAACAAGGCTTTATTCCTAGTAGTTCATAAACAACATGTTGCTGCTATGGAAGGAAATCTTCTGCCAGCTGTTTTATATAAGAGAACAGAAGAGACTTCCTGGGCTTTCTTTTAAATCGATGAATTCCTGAACTCAACAAGGACCTAAGTTACAGAATAACAAACATAGCATTATAGACAAATGGACCCATTTCTTACTAGAATGGAATCATTTACGGGAAATTAAGAATATAGGATGCCTATCAGAAAAGAAAGTGAAGCCATGAAACATGCATAGTGGACCTCCAGCAGAAAACTGATGGTATTTGGTTGTACCTGGCTAACAGGCCACGGAAGACTTTCACACACATCGGAAACTCCAAAACAGAAACATTCAGTACAGCCATGAGGATTTCTTTCTTGGAGATTATAGAAACCTGGTTTGCAGCGGTCACAATTTTCTCCTTCTACATTTTCCTGTGAAAGCATATAATACTGTTCTGTGGCCAGCAATAATAACCATCATACATTGTAAGTTACAATTTTCAAAGAGACAGCTATGTTAATCTGTTTTCATCAGTGAAACAAACACTAAAAAGCAAAACACAATGTATTCTTCAAGATGCTCTGACTCTTTTGTTTTTATATTTGTTATGGATATAGGTTGCAAACAATTGAGATATAACATTTTGATTGTGTGGGGGAGCTTATCTTAGGAGCAAAATTTTCCATTCATTCAATAAAACTTAAGATTCATGTTATTAAGATGAGAGGACTGTGGAGATCTATAGACCTAGTAGATCCATGTCCTCTCCCTTCATGTTCATTGTCACAACCTCAACATGCTTCTTTATAGCTTTTGTACAAGGTCATACATATTACACAGCACTTAGAAGGAGAGCACAACAGTGCCAGGAGGGGCCATGAAGGGGGAGGTTCCAAGATCACATCTCCTCCTCTGTGATCAACATTATTTAAAAGAGGAATGATGCCCTACAGTTGATCTGGAGGGCATCATTTCTCCATCACCTTCCAGAGAGACTTCTGCAACCCAAGAATTAGCAGCAGATAGAAAAGTGGCATTTTCACTTTAAATGTGTGTGCGTGCCTATATTTCCTTCAAAATGTATGCCTTGGTTTCAAGGCAGAAAATTAAACGATGGCAGCGGCAGCATGGGGAAGGCGTGGGGAAATGGGTGAGACCACATGCAGTCCGTGAGATGTGTTGCATCTCTCTAAGACTTCATAGGGGGAATTTCAGTCAATCTTTTGGCTCTAGGGAAGTATTCCAGACCACAGAATTGCCATGTTAGTCTCTGCATAAGAAGGCTGCTGGAGTGCAGCTCCCATCACAGCCTACAGGGAGGGAGTCGTTCATCTGTGTGTTTATGTTACATTTATACCCTGCCTTCTTCCATTGAGCTCAAGGCAGCACAGCTGCCTTGCTGCAATCCAACAACATCTCAAGGGCCAAAGGTTGCCACTCCAGTATTTGGGATAGTCACAGTTTTAATCAGTTCCATTGTTGTTGTCAGTTTCATGTGGTTCTTAGAGGCATGCAAGGAATGTCAGCTCACATTAGGAACAGGAGGAAACATCCTTCCAGCTCTCACACCTCAACAAGCAAACAATAAAAACAAACAAAAACAAACATCAAGGTCAAACATAGTGTTGCTACAGATGTAATTGTTGTCTACTATTCTCAGCCACTTCCCCCCCAACTATAGTCACTTCTTACACTTTGCCATTCAATGACTGCCTGAAATTTGTTAGAAACGTACTACAAATTTTAATTTAAACATCCATCTATAGAGATTTTTGCTCAAGTCATCATTAATTCTTATACAGAAGACGTGATTTTTGCCATTTAAAGAAAGCCATTTCCCCTATTAAATTAATTGACAGGTCCCATTTCCCATTTCATAACGAATCATTAGAATTTACTTTAGAAAGAACTTACTTTGCAAAGGCAAGGTTCTGTGCATGGGTCATCGTTAACACTACCAACCAGGCTGCAGTTACAGCGCAGGCAGTTCGGATAACCTTTGTAGCCAAAGGTACAACTGTCACATTTTAATCCTCCATAACCTTCTTTGCAATGACACTGACCAGGCTGAACACCTTAAAAGGAAAATGTTAAAAATGGGAACAAGGAAATATATCACAAAATAATCCATATATTATGTTCTGGCTGTAATTTAGAAATTTGCCCCTCAGGTTTGACAATGAGAGCCAGATCTTCTGTGCCACAATATCAGTCAATGCAAGAAACCTGGCAAAAACTAGGATTCCTTGCCTTGTTATAGGGGTCTCTACACTCTGACTGACTGTGAGACATATAAGTCTTTCTGTGCCAGAAATCATGAATAAATTAGCATGAATATGTTAGAATTATTAAAGCTAAATTCTTCATGCTTAATTTTAATCCTATTGTATAAAAAACTCATGGCAGAGTATCTTTTCAGTGTTCATACCCCAGGCATAAGGGGCTCAGCTTCACTGCCATTTTGAGTAACTTACGAGCATCTTCACACCTCAGAATTTTGCAATGACACGCACACCCTGCTCAGACTGCAAACCATCTCTGGATTTATCCAAATATTTGCCAGACCTCATTTAAATACTGTTCATGTACTGTTGAATATTGTAAACTATAACTTGTTGTCTTTCTTTTCTCTGATCTGGATGCTGTATTTATGTAATAGCACGCATGTCTGTTGGTTAAAGATCCTGATGTAAGTGCATTATCATATACTTGTAAACCAAGTGGGATTTGTCCAATCTATAGCTGAACATGCCAGCAAGTCCCATTCTTATGTGCATATAAATACAGGTAAGGACAAAAGGATATTCAGTTGAAGTAGTGGATAGACAAGGGCTCAGGAGACCTGGATTCAAATCCCCACTTGGTCATAAAAACTCATGGCAGCGGGAATAGAACTAGTAAAACAATTCCTTAAATATCTCATCTACCTTGAAAGCCTTATTAGGGTTGCTATAAGTCTGTTTGAACTTGTCAGCACAGGTCAAAACATGTCAAAATTTAACCTCTCAGTCTTTCCTCATACAGCGACACAGATATAGACATACAGTCCCTTGTTTCAGAAATGGCATTGGGATTGATTTTTAGCACAAATGTTTCTGCAGCTTACTTACCCTGCTGAAGGTCAGCATAACTGTCATCCTTAACACATTCAAAACCAAAGGATCCAAACAAGTCACATTCACAGGGAAGGCACGGATTATTGTCATAAGGAGACACCTAAAAGAGGTGAAGATTTTAGTTCTTATTGTTCCTACCTGAGGGAAAGAACAGAGATTGGACTAGTCATTGTTGTCACTTACACCTACCAGAACTATCCTTGTCAACTGACTAAGTGAACCAGACTATTTTGAGAACTGTAGCCCCAAACAGTAACTTGGCCCATCTCTGGTAAAGGATAATATAGCAAGGCAACTCATTAAAAGATTAAGCATATACTATAACAGGTCAAAGTGGTTAACTCAGTCCTCTGAAAACAGTAGGCAAGGAAGCTACAGGAGTGACAAGGGAAACACTCAACCTAGTTGTCACAGCATGGTAAACTATGAGATCTTGGAACAGGAGTCCTACTCAGAAAGCAATAAATATGTTTCATAAGAATGGAGAGAGCCAGACAGATTGTAAGAACCTGGCCACACCGGCATATAGCTATGGTATATGGAACCCTGATGGAATTCTTTGGCATGAAAGAAAAGACCTTGATGGCTTGTGCATGTACTTAGAATAATCCATCATTCCCTTTTAAGAGCTGTCCCACACCAAACTGGCACAGGGTTAGATCATGCAATCTATTTAGCATGATTCAATAAAATGTAAAATAGCTCTTTGTTTAGCCTTTGTGGATGGATACTTTCTCCAAAATGGCACTGGGGGCAGCATTAATTGAGGAGACAACCCTGTGATATATTAAAACCCCTCCTCTATGTTCATCTTCTTTTATTTTTAATATTTCCCTAACTGATGCAGTGAAATTCCAAAACCATAGTTACCCCAGCCTCCTGAATGAGATGTGAGAGAAAAGGCAGGGAAGTGGGCTATTTTGATTCCATGGGCTCTGCCCCCACAAGAAAGTGCAGCTCCAGGTGTAGAGAAAGGCAAGGAAGGGTAGGAAGTTACCTCCCTTCTATCTTCCCAACCTTCACCCCAATGTGTTCCTCTCATGCTGCAACTGTTCTTGGCTGCTGTTGCTGCTACCTCTTTATTCGTGAGTAAGCTGTGTAAACTTGCTCATGAGTAAACCAGGTAAATCTTGCTTTTTATGGCTCTGCAGCATGGGAGAAGAAAACCCTCTTTCCCTGACCCTCCACAGAGGATCAGGGAAAGAGCATAATTGCTTGCTCATCATGCTACAAGGGGTCATATCCTGTGGGGACAGGAGGAGCACATCAAATGGCTCATAATTTCTCTCCCCCACCTCAACAGCCCCTTTGTAATCCAATTTACCCTGCCCCCAAAATGGCCAGTCTGGACAGGCCCGGAAAGGCACTCAGAGCCTGTAAGATCACACCAACATGGACTGACTAGTAGGGAACAATAAACTTGGAAACTGAAGGAAGAACTGCAGCCATAGAGGGAACTGCTCTTCCACAAGTCAGGGGATGAATACTTGGCCAGAAATTCATTCACATTGATCTGAGGTGTAAAGGAAAAATTTCAGGGAAGCCAGCCACTCACCACTTTAAGCTGGTCCCTTGACAAATTTTAAGTTTATGTAATATGGTCAACAGCTGCAGCAATACATAGGCGTTTGGTCCCCCCCCCCCCATCTATATATATATAATATTGACCGGAGACAAAACTACTAGCTCATTTCTAGAAATAACTCAGTTTATGCTGACATATTTTCTGCTGATAGCCTTCCTTTCGCTATGACTTTTTAATTACATTGCAGTTGTAAAATCAACAGTGGGTTGAAAGAAATATGGCAGCTCTTAACACAATTCAAAGCAATGAAACACAATTCCATTAAGCTCTCTTACTTTATGTGGCCTATAGTATCCATCGCTACATCTCTCACAGTTTATTCCAGTGGTGTGTTGGGTACAGTTTATACACACTCCACCTCCTTTGAATTGGCCATAAATGTTTATACTCTTTTTTTCATCTGCCACACTCTGATCATAGTAACAGTCTCCAGCTTTGTTATGACAATTACATCCTAAAAAAAATGTAATAAAGAAATTCACTTTCATTTCTATTTCATAAAATACAGTTTAAAAATAATTACAGCAAAATCAACAATGCTGAAAGCATCCTGTATAAATACACTTAAATGGCTTCTTCCTGTGAATCTAGTATATACCAGAATAGTCCTTTCTAACTATATTCTGTAATGTATTGTAATTCTGTATTATTAATACAGGATATTTTTCCCACAAAGTCAATGTTTTATAATAAATAAATTAGAATAAACATGAAGGCAAGGATTTACTACCACTAACTAGCACAGTTCAAAGTTAATAATAAATTATTAATAATAACATGCTCTGTCCCATTCTGGAATGTGTCTAGAAAAGGGGAAGAAAGTTAGTGATAGACCCAAAGGCCAAATTCTATGACGGAAGTTTAGAAGAGATGGGTAGGCTGACTGATAGATGAGGCAATGTGATGGCAACCTCATGAAGGATAGATATACATGTTGAAGCAGATATGTTTCCTTTTGCTCCAGACCGCAGCTTGGAAAGTTAATACTGGTGCTAACATTTAAGGAAATTAATTTCAAATAGTAAGAAAATGTAATAGAATTAATGATTATACATTTAAATCTTTTTTGTTTTTAGCAAAAACAATAAAGAGTTTTGTAGGACCCCAAAGGCCAATACCGTACGTTATTTGGCATAAGCTTCACAATCTCTTCCTGCCCAACAAGGATCAGGAGGATTTAATGTCAGTGGAGGGTTATGGTCTGCTGGTGATTAACAGGATTCTATCCTGCGTTGGATTTGTGCAACAGACTAATATGGTTACCATCCTGGGAAAAGTTTAATCATCATTTAAAACTATGAAAAAATAGCCATAATTAAATAAAGTTAGCAGGAAAATTAATAACTGCTCGAAAATATTGATAGCATTTAACAATTAAAATAATGCACATTAACATCATTGTCAAAAAATGTCAATGTCTATGAGTTTATGAATTAATTATTATTGAATAATTACCAATCTCTTGCCCCAGAATGAAGGCAAAGGTGAGATCACTGGTTCAAGTTAAAAGAAAGGTGATTTAGTCTAAACATGAGGAAAAAATGAACAAGCTGTCCAACTGTGGAACAGACCCTGCCACAGAACAGGGCAGACTCTCCATTACAGGTTTTTAAGCAGAGGCTGAATGGCAGTCAATCTGGATGCTATAACAATGGATCTCTTATACTGACAGGCAATATGACTAGATGAATTTTGAAATCCTTCCCAGCTCTATAAATGTATTATCGTCTGTGACAACAAATATGAAAAAGAACAATGCATTCACACATACAAGCCACTTTATGGGTTTTCACCAGCTTAGTCTGAGAGCAGCAAGATCACTGAACAACAGTGACAACTGTTGACATCGTATTTTTTTTTAAAAAAAATCACTATAGAAATGACAAGGTGAAAGACTGATGAGTTATGACTCAAAGTAGTAATGAACCACAGTACTATTACTACAAGAAAAATCAATTCACCATTTAAACAACATCAACAAAAAGTTTCACCCACTCTTCTGGCTTCACTACTGGCTAGATTACACACCTAATCACCATAAAGCCAGACATACATAGAGCTGTCATTTTAGCACTACGTACTCTCACATTTGTTGCCAGAAGAAATGGTTCCTGGTCTCCATGGTGCCTGATGGTAGCCAGGGCAACATTCGTTACAACTCTCACCACATGTATTGTGTTCACACTGGCATTGTAGTTTCTAAATGAAAAGAGATAACATGGCTGCATTATCTAATTCCTTAAAATTATCACTTTAGCAGATATGTTAAAATACTTTAAAGTATCTTTTTACATTTTCGGCCTGGATTGATACGTGCATAAGTAACAAATTTGTATAGGTGATTTGGCTTTCCCATGTAAAATCATACACTTAATTAAGCTATACACACTTCATTATATACTACAAGCTTCTGTGCAGTTCATGTGGACTTGTACTACTCCCATTCTAGTTAATGTCATCTTTCATCTATTTTATATGTATATGTAGAGCATCTGCCCAATGGCATTTGAATACCCATTCACCAAAAGACCTGGTTAACCATCTTCCACAAAGAATTCAAAATCTATTTAGGCAAGGCTACTCTAAGTTGTATATGGGATATAGTAGCCTTACCCAAACGTGCTTGGAGTTGACAGGCAGGTCCCTTTGTGTAAATAATATACAAACTCTGAAGTACAAATTCATCCCCCCCTCCCCGGAAACCAACAACTTTTCTTCAAGTATGTATATTTGGTGAACAAAGGGCTGAAGAGAAAATGAGTAAATTATAGCACATTTCAAACAGCAATGACGGCAAATGCAACAAAAGAGAAGAACACCTCTATGAAGTTTCAGGGAATCAGATTTTATGCATGTTTGCATTAGATCACAAGGATGGACAATTTTACAGTGTTTAAAGAATCTTTGTACTTGTTTTGTCTGAACATCTGTTTTTTTTAATATGTGAACATCTACACATAACACACTAGAAGTATGGAAATATTCACACATTAAAAAAAACAGATGTTCAGACAAAACAAGTACAAAGATTCTTTAAACACTGTAAAATTGTCCATCCTTGTGATCTAATGCAAACATGCATAAAATCTGATTCCCTGAAACTTCACACAGGCGTTCTTCTCTTTTGTTGCATTTGCCATCATATATATGATGACATATATATGAAACAGTGAGCAATAAAATCTTCCAAGACAGCAAGAGTAAAATGTTTATTTGAATGAGATGCACATCTCAGAATTGCAGCTTTTCTTAATTCCTTTTCAATCCTCAAAGGATCTACTAGAAGTCTTGTCCGAATCTTATAAGCCTAAATCGAGCTCTCAAGTATTGAGAAGCTGTGTAGTTACACTATGCTAATAAGTATATTTTCAGTACAGCTAAAAGGACTAGAAGTGAGTCTATAAGCATTTTATCACTTTCTTAATTAGTGAGCAACCAATGCTTCCCAAACACTGGTCACCAGATGGTATCAGAATGCATCCTCCAGAATTTCCAACAACAGGCCATGCAGGCCAACTCAAGAAATCTGTGAGTTGTAGTCCAAAATTACCCATAGACCCTAGTTTGTGACTCTTGCATATAATGATCAAGGACCTTTTTTGCCTCCAGCATTCAGGAAATGGTGCTGGATAGAAGGAGAAGAATTTGAGTAACTTTTTAAAAGGCAAATATGCAGTGAGAAATGATTTTTTTAAAAAAAAACATACCTTGGTTTCTTTATCCAAAGGACAACTTCGAGCATGGCCATAGCAAATGCACATACCTCCAATTGAAATGTCTTTTATTGAATAGTAATACTAAATAAAGCAAAGATCATAAGTTAATTGTCATTTAATATTACCAACATACAACGGCAATGTTCCTTTTAAAAAAATTAACACAAATATTTATCAAGCGTAAACAAGGATTAAGTTTCTACAACTGTCAGAGAAGTCAGTACTGTAAAGAGTAGTGTTTCTGCAAACTTACATGAATAGCTTTTCACAAACATTAACAAATCTACGCATGGTATTGGGCTCCCCCACAGGAAATAAAAATAAAACAAATAAGTAAATAATATTATCTCTCTCATACACAGATATATATATAAAAACAGCATGAGTTCATTTACTGCCCTGAATCAGGCACCAGATTTACTCTCTCTGTCAGTTTTAAAATTCTCATAATGGATTCAATAAACCACTAGAAGATTTTAAAAAAAAAAAACAGTTTGCATGGGTACAAATCATGAGCAGCCTGAAGCATAATTTATAAATTTAATTCAAACATAATTTTGACTGTAGGTATACAATGTAACTGACAAAGAAGATTACAAAATCAATTTTGTCCAATAGCTTTTTCTGAGCAGAGTTAACATCAATTTTAACTATTGTCAGAAGAGCTAAGCCAAGGCAACATAATAATTAGAAATAATTGCTTCTGCACTTTGCCCTAACATGCTTTTGTTTGCTCAAGAATGATGCAAGCCATGCTTTTAAAAAAATATTTGTGTCATCTGTCAAGTTAACTTGAATTTGTACATGCTACTTTGATTATAGTTTTTAACTAATCACAGTTTTCAGGAATCAATAATATTTTTATTGTTATATAAAATCCACAATCAAACACTATCCAATATGTATAATGGAATATCTAGCATAAAGAAAAATATCATATCTACATATTAAAAAATATTCTACATTTTGGAACAGTTTGGACAACGATTCTCTGCTTCTCAAGCCATGATTGTAAGAAACAGGGAAAGGGCATCAAGGCAGTACTCTCCTCATTCATCCCTTCCTTGCCCACACCCCAACTTCACCATGGAGATCCTGGTTAAAACCCTATTATCTTCAAGAGAAAGAGAGAGAGAAAAGAAATCTAGTTTGTCAGCTAATTAGCTCAATAAACCAGTACCAGATTGGCCCATAATTCCCTCCTGCAAGTTGTATATGCTTACATTGCTCTGTATGTTGGGCCTCATCTTATAGTTGCCAAATGTGTGAGTAGCAGGTGGGGCCTCCACACATACCTCCTGCATACTTTTAACACATAAGGAGATTTATTCCCACCTTTCCCCGATTAGATCAGGATATAAGAGCATGCACCTATTAAAAATGAATTTGCCAGGTTTATTTGCTGTTAATATGCTTTATGTCAGAAAAACTGGTATGTAACTTTATTTATTTATTTATTTATTTATTTATTTATTTATTTATTTATTTATTTATTTTATTTATTTATTTGTTTGTTTGTTTGTTTGTTTGTTTGTTTGTTTGTTTGATTGATTTTTACCCCGCCCCTCTAGACCATGTCTACTCGGGGCGACTTGGGTCTCCTTGTCTTAAAACAGAGTAAGTTTAAACCTTCATGATGTCATTGGTAACTCACAGTCCATACAGATAGTAGGATAAAACCACAATCCACTTACCCTTCTCGTAACAATAGGATCAACATCTTTTGGATCATGATGGCTAAGGGTCATGAGATCAGCATTAAGAGTCCTGATTCGCTGCAACCGAAGACGGATGTATCGTGCAGAAGTGAACTCCAATAATGTTGGTGAAGGGTCATCTGCACTAGGTCTACCATTGATCAATGATGTGTGGATCTAATGAGAGAGACTAAATTCATTAGAAGCCTAGCGCTCAAAGTTATGTCAAAGTATAAGAGGTTCTAATGGAAAAAGTTCAGAGTTGGCTACCATGCCAGACTAAAATGAAACATTGGTATCTTTGCAAAATAGTTCCCCAACTGAAAAGACTGGTCTGTTCCTCCACACCATCATTGTCCTTACTAAGCATACTAAGTTAACTACTTTCCAATGCACATTTTCCTAGATGCCGCTTTTCCTCACAGAGGAAAATCTGAGGGTGAATTTTTAAGGTGCTTCTGCAAGAATATCTGGAACAGATACCAGGCCTGTATCTAGAAAATTGTCACACTGATGCAGAATTAAAGGCAAGAGAATACTTTGCTTGCTTCAGAAGTTTATGAACTTACACTAACCCTACCATGTCAATTTTAACTGAACACATAACAGGAGAGTCAAAGCATTAAAGGTTTGCTAAAATTCAAAAGAGGAAACCCAAAAAGAAAGAAACCCAGAAAGGTGCACATAGTGCTTCACCCAACACACAGCCGCCCCAATTGTCTTCAATGAGTTCTTAGGCATACAAGAAATCAGAACAGCTCTTGCTCATTAGACACTCAGATGTTTGAATCACAGCACGAACTTCAAAACAAACTTGTTTCCATTTTATTTTGCTTTGTTTTATTTTTGGAAAAGAAAATATATTCTTGAGATTATTCTATACTAAGACAATCTACTCTCTCAGAAAGGCAATTTTTAATATGTCAAAAATATAAAACTAAATTTCTAATATGTCAAAAATATAAAACAATTTTTAATTTGTCAAAAATATAAAACTATATGCTCTGGCAAAAGTTACACTGTAATTTCATATGCACGACTTAAGTGTGTTTAAGGGGTTGGTTTCAACAAGAACACTTGCATTAGCTAAGGTGTCCATCCAACAATTGCTTTCTATGCCTCATTAACTATAACAATATGTGGCACAAGTTGTGCCAGAAAAACGTAAAGGCATGTGTAGCGTTCACCCCTTGTTATGCAAAATAAGTCATGTATTATTCAGGTTCTATGCTAATGTGTTTGAGAGGCAGAGCCGAAAAAATATGTTAAAAGGTGGAGCCAGAGTCAGGGTCAGAGTGAGAGTTTGGTTAGTCAGAGAGATAGAAGTAACAGACACAGAGTGATAAGACTGGTTAAGAAATTAGGTAGAGGAGGTGGCAATGATATTGTAAGAGAAAAGTATGTACTGAGAGTACTGTTAATGATTTGCTTGTGTACAATGATTATCTGAAGAACTTCTGTTGTTATTATTAAATCTGATTCACTTCAATAAATAGGTTCTGTTTGAATTCAGAAGATAAGTGTCCTGACAAATGCCATTTATATTGTACATTGAGGTAATCCACTGGTGGCAGTGAGAATATTGTAGATTGAGGTAATCCACCGGTGGCAGCGAGAAGAAAATGTGAGGGCCAAACACGCAGCTGCCACAAAGGGGAACGCCACAGCATGCTTTTCTATCCTCTTTGAAAACAATCAGAATTCCTGAACACTGCCACAAAGGTGAACGCCACAGAATGCTTTTCTATACTCTTTGAAAACAATCAGAATTCCTGAACAGGCTTACTCTATGTTCATCAGCCCATTGCACAGACAGTACAACATATTACAACATATCCTTCTAGGAGGTATCCAGTACCTATTTTCCCTGCCTTCCCTGAACCTTTCTTGACCTAAGAAAAAACAAAAACAAAATATCCCCCTCTAGTGGTCGAAGGCGGAATAGCAGCTTCCCATTAGTTTCTATGGACGGAAAAGAGCAGATATGGATCAAATGGTTTTCAATGCATTCCTATGGGAAATGCAGATTTGACTTAAGAACATTTTGACTTGAGAACCGCCTTCCAATATGGATTAAGTTCTCAAGTCAAGACCCCACTGTACCTCCATGAAGAAACAAGGTGATCTCCATTTGTGCAACAGCAAGCCAGATGTCACAGGTAATTCCAGCAGCAGAGCAATATGCCTTGCCAGATTTCAACAAGAATTTAGCCAAAGCAACTTGTTCCCAAGTACATTTACCTAAGATTGTATTTTAAACATTTAAAATGTTCTGGTCATAGCCTTGAAGTAATAGATTTGATACCCTCCAGCCAAGATGACATATATAATGTCATTAAACGATCAGGGGTTATATCACCCATGTTTATTCCATGCTATACTTACCATGCCAAAAGAATACACTCAGTTTTAAATTACAGCTATATGTGCTGCTATGTGTAAACCAATCCTACTTAATTTAACATATACAAATCTATTGTTGGTAACATTTTAGGATGTAGATATCTTTCATTCTAAAGAAGAACCAGGGAGCCCCCTCCTAGAAGCTATTTTTACAAGGTCAAGAATTCTAGTTGCTAGCAGATAAAGAGGGACATTCACAGTAAACTGGCTGAGGCTTTCAATGTGTCATTTCCTCATAATACTGGGCTGCCTCTGTGATCTATAATATAGAACTATTATGAATAGAGCTGTTTAAAGGAGAGGACAATAGACTGTAGACCTGCCAATGCATAACTCTTTTAATTATGCTCCATCCATGAAACAATGCCAAAGTCTGTTTTAGAGCTCAAGCTGAAAAGAGCCATTTGGGTCTTTTTGTTTTATTCTAGTGCTTTCAGTTTTTTGTTCTAGCACAAAGTGGCCCTTAAGAAAAGCTATTTTTTTTTTCAAAACATCACAACCAACATCTAATTAAATAATCTGTTACTTTTAGTAAGTGATCAATGACCAGTTAAAAAGGTACATTATGTATAAATATAAAAACAAGCACTCTCTTGAACCTGTTTAGATGCCACTTCAAATTCTCAGATTCTGACTAGAATAAGATCAAAAGTCAGCTTCAGATTTAAATATCCTCTCCTCCAGCTTCTGAAAAAGCAATGAATAAATGGGAAGATTTGAATCTTCAGGAATAAAAACAGGCATAACTGCTTCTAATTCTGGATAAAACCTAAGCAGAGCCAGCCAGTTTTTAATCAAACTTCCTCAGCACCACAATCTTTCTACCACTTCTATACCTACAGATAACAGATACAGGAAGAAAAAGATAGCCCACCTCTCCATGTTCCAGTGGAACTAGCCTTGAATAATAGGAAGTGCAGATGACTTCATCATCTCTCTTATAGGTAGGAGGCCCAAGCCTCGGTGTGACATTGTATCTCGTTAGACATTCTGTGTCACTAATTGCATAGTACTGCCAAGGCCTGAATTGGGTGCCATCCACAGACCGTTCCAAAATCCAGTTTCCAGGTCGGGGAGCATTAGCCGCTTTGACAATGACATAGGCAACTTGAAAGACCTAAAATGTAATGCAGAAAAAAAGCTACAATTGATCCTACCCATAAAGTATGTTTTTAACATGTTTCTTCTGAGACGTTTAATTACTTAGGAACATCCAACATTATTTCTCACGGTTTTTAAGACTCTCAGTTAGGATGCAAATCCTTTTAGGTCGTTTCCACAGCCTACTGGGTTTTTGTTTTTAATGCTACACCAGCTTCAGATTGTCTTTTTTTTTCACTTGTAATTTAAAAAGTTCAGACCCTTGTAAGCTTCAGACTTAAAGGTCAATTGTTCCACTAAAACAACTAATGTTTAAGAATTAGATGTGCAACTAAAAGTCAGAATTTTATTACAACATCATCTCCATGCAAATCTAGAGCTTAGAAAAGTTACTTTTGTGGAATATAACTTCCAGAATTCTCTGGACAGCATGACAGATTGCAGGAGTTGTAGTCAGACAAAATAATTTTTCAAAGCTTTTTGTGAAGCTTCTTGATCATATTTCCTGAAGAAAGCACCACTCCTTTCATAGACTTTGGAAACTCCATCAGATTGAATGTACAGAAAGAAAACTCTGACATTACAGGATAAACATTTTAATTTACAATGATTTAGATCAAGGTATATACCGAGGGCAAGAAACACTTAGCTGCATCACTGAAATCATTGAAATTTCCTGAGAACTATAGAAGGTCAACATAATTACAAGAAAAATCTGTTCTCCCAGCTAGGTTTTAACCACCAAAACAAGAACCCAAGTAAGATCTATGCAAGTATTCTGTAAACACTAGAAGTAATTTCTAGCCATAACTGGTCCTGATTTATGTGCATTTAAGACAGATACAGATCCTTTTAGAGTACCTAGAACTCATATACAAATTGTGAACTTTACCATAATTAGAATATCTTTAACATGGATTACAAATTATGAATACGAAATCATCAAATAATCTTCATGCATGCCATCCTGCTTTCTGTCATGAATGAAAAGCAGGAAATAGTAGATAAACAAACAAGAGTAAATTTGAGGAAAGACTAGCTGTCATCTACTGTGTCTCTTTCTGGTAGATTTAAACCACTGAGCAAGAAGTACTAGGAAGAAAGACAGTAAGTAGATGGAAATTAAACAAATTGGAAGGAAAGGCATATATACCCAAACACATAGAATCTGAGGTGTGAATGAGTAACAATGACATCATTTAATTTTGTGGGCATGCACATGTTGTTTAACAATAACTCAAACAATAAGCACCAGAATCTGAGGTGCTTTTAAGAACACATTAATCTTTCTTTATTTCCTTCTCTTCAACCAGAATCTAAACTTGCAGTTGCACCAAACACACCTACTACTAGCGATAAGACTGTCTGCACACGAACCAGCTGCACACGAACCAGCACCCAGAAACCCTAGAAGGTGATTGATCTCATGTTCATTTTTGCTTTGAATAGTATCAAGAGCTGTACAGCAGAAGACACTTATTTCTGCTCTTGTACTATTTAGTCGTCACACACAGAGAACAACTGTAAACAACCAAACCTTATAGATTCTATAATCTGCTCATGATATCCTCTAGGTCTCCTTCCCATCACTGGGTTATCCTTTCTCTCTTGCATGTTATTTGACACTACTAAAAAGGTGAAACAGTAACAAAAATGCTATATGGGAAAATATACCTTCAGGCAATAACTGTCATGAAACCACACAAACTGCAATATTCAGCAGAAACCGAACATTACAGCTTGCAAGCAAAGCCACTTCCATCACTATAAAAAGTGTTCAGTTATCAGATAGTAAATGGAATTGAAAACACAATTAAATTGTGTCATTCACTGCTAGTGAATCAGTTATAACATAATTAACAATTATATGCTACCTTATGAAAAACCTCTAGAATTTTTCAGAGTTGTTCAGGTAAAGAGTAGCCAGAAGTTATTATTACCTTCTTCTGGCATTGTGTAGCTCGCCCATGATCACACAGACTGCCTCTTCTGCTACAAGCCACAAGGTGAATCAAACTCCCAATCTCTGACTCTCAGTGCACTTTTATGGCCAATCAGGGGTTCAAATTCAGGTCTCCCATCTTCTAGTGCAGCAGTTCCCAACTTCTGATAACCCAGATGTTCTTGGACTGTAACTCCCAGAAACCCTGGTCAGCAAAGCTGGTGGTGAAGGCTTCTGGCAGTTGCAGTTCAACAACATTTGGGTTACCCAAGGTTGGAAACCACTGTCCTAGTCAATGAAAACAATATAGTACTTTACAATATCTTACAAAGATTTGCACCCATATCAATGTGTTCTTTTAGCTGTTATTAAAATAATGCGTTAAAATTAACTCCATTAACTTGTTTAACAGTTTAGGCTACTACTGTGGTATATACACATGTTTATAAGCTTTTTTATACTGTGTTTCCCAATCATTTCAAGCAATACAATGTAATATACTCTATCACAATGGCTGAAATCAAGTTGCCTAGCATAGAAAGTTGCACTAGGCCTATTAAATCAGTGGGGATTTGGTAAGTCAGCTCCTCCATAAGCTCCACTGATTCAAATGGGCCTACTCTAGTTGAGACTTACTATACCAAGCAACTAGACTTCAACCAATGAATTTTTTACATCTGGACTTACACCTAACAACTTTCTTCATGTTTAAATGAGCAAACAAATGAGAAGATGTATCATTCACAGAACTTGTGCAATCTTGGTTATATAAAACAATCTCCCAGTGAGGAGTAATATTTCTTAGCACTAAAACCATATCACTACAATTTTCTAAAGGAGAAGGAAACTAAAAAAGGAAGAACACTTTGGGGGAAAACGTATATAAAGTATATTTTAAGAAAGTATGTTTTATATATATTATTATAAGCATTGGAAGGAGCAAGTGGCCATATACATTGGGAAAGAAGGAAAAAACATTTGGGAAATGGGTATCTAAAAACACATGTGGTGACTCTTTGAAAAGGACATTCAGCAGCACTTCAGTATCACATTTAGCAGTGAATTAGGCAAGCAACTGATGTTTGTTTCTTCTCTTACAAAATGCCATTTCCAAATAGAAAGACTATATAAAGACAGCTGAAGTTGCACTCTGTAATTTTGTTGATGTCCTTCAGGGAATCCATCAGTCTTAGCAAATGAATATTCAGAAACATATAATCATAAATACCAAGATTTTAGCTAAGCTTATTCTACATTAAGGAGTACTAATGTAAGAAAGAAACCCAGTCCTCTTGCTGTTAAAACAAACAGCCCTCATGTCTCTGCAAAATGCTTTTCTTTATTTCCCCCCACCATACTCTATAGCAAGCAGAGAAAACTAAAAATACTATGAACTCTCTATCCACTCAGGTGCCATGCAGATGTTCTTACTTACCTGTCTTAGATCCAGAGTTATGGTAATCCAATGGTATTCTCTTCCATTCTGAATGCTAGGACTTTGCCACCAGTTATTAGTGCCATCTATTGCATTTGAGATAGGGTGTTGCTCTAAAACAGGCAAAATGAAGATCAAATTTACCCACTGCTTCCTCTTGCTATATTCAAACTGTATATCTCTTGCTAAGATATACACTGCATAAGTACTACGTCAGGAAAGACTACTAAAATGCTACTGAAAATTTATTTAGAAAATTCTGAAATAATAAAACTGTTGAAAGGACCAACCCAGACAAAATCATACATACAATGAAATCAACAGAATTTTAAAATAACAGATTGAATTGAAACTAATTCAGATTCATTGAAATCATAGTCATTACTAACACAGGTCCTAATAATTTTCTGCTCCAACACAGAATTAAGTCTAGATTAAACCCAGAATTTAAAGACTTCAGTGATTACAGTGAGACTTTCAAAATCCTAAGCTGCAGACATAATGGACCAAATTGGTTATGTGCCTTATCAGTTATATATTCTGACACCTTCAATACCATAGACAGTGTCTCATGAAACACCTCATGTTGGCTATGGTATTCTGAAAGTTATAGCCCCAAAAACTAACTTTTCTAACATCTGGAAAAAAAGCTATAATGCAATAAACTTGCCTTTGGGGTTTGCACTATTATGGTCACAAATTCGGCACTGTGCATTGCGTAGAGGTCGGCCTGGAACATGTTCCACGAGTTTACAAAACATCTCAGGGCCCTTTTCTCCACAAGTAGCATTGGTGCTGATATGAGCATTGCTAGCAAGATTTAGGATGGCAGGAAATAAACCTGAAAGAGATTACAATTGAAAGTTATCGCTATAATGCAATAAACTTGCCTTTGGGGTTTGCACTATTATGGTCACAAATTCGGCACTGTGCATTGCGTAGAGGTCGGCCTGGAACATGTTCCACGAGTTTACAAAACATCTCAGGGCCCTTTTCTCCACAAGTAGCATTGGTGCTGATATGAGCATTGCTAGCAAGATTTAGGATGGCAGGAAATAAACCTGAAAGAGATTACAATTGAAAGTTATCTAATAGATACATGTTATGCCTGTCACCCCACAGGACTTTATGCTCAGATTTCTTTAGTCTTCCATAATTCTGACACTTCCAAATAGACTCAGATTACTTTGTGCTTTCTCCACTTTTTAAATACAATCTCTGCTACATTTCTGCAAGCCTTCCTCTGATTTTGATTACAACTGAAGGAAGTTATTTTGTATCAACATGCCCTAAATTTACTCAGTTCATGAATATGAGCTTCAGAAATTGGAGTGCCATAGGGGGGAAAACCTGTCTTAAGAATATCTTTACAAAGTTAATGTATACTGAGAGACAAATGGGCAAACATTACAAACTTTGAATTACATGCCAAATTCCAGTGGTAGCCACATAAGTCTGTTGAAGTAAAAGCATCATGTGCATTTATTTTCATTTAGATTCTAAATCCCAGAATTCTGCCAAACATCTAGACTGAACTCAACTGGAGGATGGTTGGGCTGGAAGGCTTCGTGACCTAGGATAGGCAAAGCTCCAACCTAGCTTCCTGTTAGAATGTGCAGCAACCACCAACTTCCCTTTCCAACAGGAAACAAGACCTGAGTTCAGTCTGGTCTGTGCTGTGACGCCTTCCAGTCCTGCCCTTCTCTAGCGGAGCACAATGTTGGTATCCATCAGGCAAATGGAACTCCAGAATGAAGAATTTTGGGATTTAGAGTGCAAACAAAAACAAAAGCTATGAAAGAGCAGAATTTAAGGAGACTTGATATTTTGGTCTCTTGAAATAAATATTGGCATTTCTAGTTTAGGCAGATGAGCTCAAGAACTGTTAGATGAACAACCCAACAAAACAAAACCCTCTTCTGGAGGTTTCTCAGTTTATAAAAGTAAGTTGCACACTACTGCCCCATTGCACACATACATTTTGCACAGTTAACACAAGGGTATCTATACCCACTTTATACCTGCTACAGTGTGCCTATACATCTACTGTGCGGATATTTACCATTTTAAGAGATGTGGAAGCACACTGAACTGGACACAAAACCTGCTGACAGAGGACAAATGTGATTATTTCAGTTTCTTCCTGGTTATTTTGGGGTACTGGGTGTGCATGTAGGCTAGTTGGTTGTATAAGGGAATGAATAGGTACAGTAACAGGTGAGGAACATATAGAACAATTATGACAATTTGGGGTGGGGGAACGGCTCCACAGAACTTGATATTGTTTGGCTGCCTCCCTCCCAACCAAGCAGGAAGGAGGAAAGCGTCTGCTGAAGGAAGTGGCTGAAGAAATCTCAGAACCACTGTCCATTATTTACTTCAAGGCATGGGAAATGACTGAGGTGCCAGATGATTGGAAAAGGGACACTGTTGTCCCTATCTTCAAAAAGGGCAAAACAGAGGAACCTGGAAACTAGAGACCAGTCACCCTGACATTAATCCCAGGGAAAACTCTGGAACATATTATAAAATGGTCACCATGCAAACACCTAGAAAACAAAGTAGTAATAGTAGAAGCCAAAATGGATTTTTCAAGAACAAATCCTGTCAGACTTAACTGATCTAATTTTTTATTTGGGTAACCTCCCTGATAGACAAAGGGAATGCTGCAGACATAGTATATCTTCAGCAAAGCTTTTGACAAAGTATCCATTATGTTCTGATTAGCATGTTAACCAGGTGCAGATCCGATATAACAACTGTCAGATGAATACACAATTGGCTGCAGAATTGTACTGAAAGGGTGATGATTAATGGCTCCTTCTCAAACTGGGAGAAGGTAGTGGGATACCCCAGTGCTCAGTCAGGGCTGGAAACCAAGACTTCTGAGGAAAGACTGGAAGAATTGGACATGTTTAGCCTTGAGAAAGAAGACTGAGGGAAGATATAGAACTTTTCAAATACTTGAAAGGATGTCAAACAGAGGAAAAGCAAGATCTGTTCTCAATCATCCCTGAGTGCAGGACACACAACAATGGGCTCAAGTCACAGGAAGCCAGATTTTGGTTGAATATCAGGAAAAACTTCCTGACTGTTAGAGTAGTATGGCAATGGAACCAATTACCTCGAGAGGTAGTGAGTTCTCCAACACTGGAAGCATTCAAGAGAAACTTAGACAACCATCTGGCAGATATCCTTTTATTTGTATTCCTGTACTGAGCAAGGAGCTGCTTGATAGCTTTACAGATCTCTTACAACTTCATGAGTCTATGATTTTATAAAGTGTTTAGACAACCAGACAAGAAAGGATTAGAGATAGAGGATACAAGATACATAGGAGGTGGGGCTTAGATTAGGGACAGGTAAGATAAGAGGCAGAGATAGGATAAAGGTTGTGATGGATAAGAGCTGTGATTAATAAAAGTGTGACAGAGTGAGATGAGTAATGAGACAGAGAGGGTTAGAATTTGATAACTTATGAGAAATGAGGTAATGACTTAGTTAAAAGTCTGTGTCTAGCAATTATAACTTGATTTTACTGTTATTATTCCAACCCTTATTATTTTATCAGTTACTTTTTTAAAAATTTTGGTAAATCAAGTATTTCTTCATCTCCTAGTGGCAATTATCATACAACACCCACACTAGTTCTCTGGTCATAGCTCAACAAGAGCAGAGAAAAAAGATGGACAACTATAATTTTTAGAAGGCTTCCAGTTTCAAAATTAGTGGTGGCAGCATGATCTAAATCTTAAGAGGCCTAAGAAAAAGACCGGATTAAAACTTCCTCAGAGTGCAGTGGAGGGTAAAGAAGGGCCAGGTGTTCTGAGCAGATAGCAACAATGGTGTGAAGGAGCACACTGGGTGGCTGTTTAATGTAGCAACAGGAGCAGATCCATCGACAGGAGTGCCATAAAGCGGCAAACCAGCTGAGGGAAGCCTGGGGGTGTCACAATGAATTCATTAAAGGCAAAGGATCATCACAGGCAAAGAATACAGCTGAGACTTCAGAAGAAAACCTCCTTGTTTTCCTTGGACTTCAGAGCAAGATATGGTTTGCTACAGATTCTCTGTGTTTTGTATTCCTTAAGAAAGAATGTTTCCAATTAAGCAATTTAGATTTGTGAATAAATGTGAACACCCTGGGATTACAAATTCTGAAGAAGGGAAACTGAAATAATAAACAGGTCTGCCTTGAAAGGACCATTATACTCTCTGCTAGTTTTACTGCAAGAGAAACATACTGTAGATACTGCTCAGGAAATTGCAATTGAATTAATTTACTTTATAATTCTGCCCCCTGGCAATTTCCTGTACTCTAATTGTGCTTTAAGTATTGTTTGCTGAAAGAGTGTTAAAGATATTTTATATAAGTATATATATAGCTTTGTTTTATTTTTATAAACTGTACAGTGGACCCTCGACTTACAGACGGCTCGACTTACAGACTTTTCGAGTTACAGACTTCTCTGGCTGCAAAATTTAGATTCGACTTGCAGCCAGAGAATCGACTTACAGACCAGAAAAAACCCAAAATGGAACAAAAATAGAATAAAAACCGCTGGTTATGGGATTAATCGGTTTTCAATGCATTGTAGGTCAATGGAGATTCGACCTACAGACTTTTCGACTTGCAGCCACCATTCCAATACGGATTAATTCCTTAAGTAGAGAGTCCACTGTATATATATATGAAACAAAGCAACAACTGTCCTAGGAAATAAGCAGCTTAAATAAAAGTTACACCTAGAACATTAACAACAATCCATTCTAAATATACCGTACATGAAAGCAAACCCACCAAACCCAGTGCAGCTGATTTGCATGTCACCTGTTTATGCTTGTGAGGTTAAGCAGATGCTAACCTGAAATGATGTAAATTGATATTAAAGTAAGCCCTTCAAAGAATAGAACATATAGACAAAAAAAACAAACAAACCCAGGAGAGATACAAAAAACATTCACAGCTGAACTTTGTTCGTAAATAATCTTACATCAAAAAGATTACTTTCAATCATTCAGAGTGGCTGAATTTACTGAATTTAAAACAGAAAAAGTAGTTCAATTTATTCAAGCTGCTCACAGAGAAAGTATACAGTTCTGTTCAGCTACAGTCATCAACATTTCCAATCAGTCACCTGCTATACCAGCATCTCGAACAACAAGAACTTTCATTTTATCCTTAGTAAACATTGTTTTTACATTGGGGATCAGTGTTTGAATACCCACTTTGCATTTACAATTACTATAAGCCCTGTTCTGACTTGACAGTGCATAACCAGCTAGCTAGAGTTTGCCAGACATGACTATAGCCTGGACTCAGAAGGGACACAATACCTACATGTAAATATACATCTTCCATAATTCCATAAGGAGTCAGTCTACAACTCTGTAAGCAAGCAGGTCTTGCTACTGAGACCACGAGAGCAGTTGATATACTAACTGGGTATGCCAATCAGGTGCCAAATGGGAGAAGGGAACAAAAGAGGAGGAAGGGGAATGGATAGTGGTGCTGAAGGTATTAATGAATGCCACTCAGTAATCTTCTGTAGCAGTTACCACAAGGAAGAGCACAAGATTGATGTGAGGACTTGGAATACTTTACTGAATTACAGAGAAAGCCAACCGTAGGTCACAACCAGAGAACACATTAAGACCCAGCAAACATAAAGAAGCTCTGCTATAATGGTCATCATCATCATCTTAGAACTGCAAAGTTGAAAGAGATACTGTAGATCATTGAGTCCATTCAGTCCCTGTCAAAGAGGCACAGTGGGAAATCAAACTCCCAACTTTTGGCTCAGCAGCCAGATGCCTAAAATACTGATCTATCCAGCAGTTCATTCTTACCATCAGAAGCACAGCACAAGCTCTTTTCTGAATGTTCTTCTTGTCCAACATGCTATTTATTCCAGGATCAACCCTGAACAGAATTCTGTGTTTCTATTTATCTAACATCGTCGTTGTTTAGTCGTGTCCGACTCTTCATGACCCCATGGACCAGAGCACGCCAGGCCCTCCTGTCTTTTGTGTTTCTATTTATCTAACATAGCCATATGAA